TGGGGCTTAATGCCTTTGCCTTTTAAATAAGGCCATTTAAAACTTAAGACTTAACGCCATTTAAATAAAAGAAAAAATATTGAAGACTTAAAGTATATGCAGTTATTTTGAGCAAATTAACAGAAAGTTCTCAGTTTTCCGTAAAAATTTACTTTATTTTTTTTGAAGTTCATTATATGATAAGAAAGAATAATTTGATTTAAAAAAGAAGCCATACAACGTTTTCTTACCGTTTAGGTGACGTGTCTCGTCATTTTTATTCATGTATGTAAAATGAACGGCTATCTGTCTTCTTTTAATATTATGACTACTACATAAACATGTAAAGCAAAAATAAAATTCCATCTAAGATTTTCCTTTTGCCGCTTTCCTTGTTTTCTTAAACTATAATTTAGAAAGTACATGCAAAAATACATTTACATTTCTGTTATTTTCCTGGCGTCAAATAATGTACATAAATATTCGTATTTCCTTCTGTCATGTTTATTTCAATGATTCTATAGTTTTTCATTCAGCAATCTTTTGAGTACATTAATTGAGTTTAATGAGCTCATGATCCTTTATTGTTTTTCAAGAAAATAAATGAATTAAAAAAATATGTACAATGATGCATAATGTATGGCTTAGAAGCACCTTTTTATTTTTAATTACAATTATCCTGCAAATGTTGGTAATCATCAGATAGACATGTTATAAAAATGAATGTAGTTTAAATTGCAGCAAATCGACATATCACTAAAAATTAAATAAAATTTAAATTATTTAAGTAGCGCTTTTATTGCTTTTAATTATTCACTTTGTTAAACAATACCGTTTAAAACTAAAATTAAAAATGTAGATCATGTGACGCTTCGGATAGCAATAATGTGAGATAAATTAGTGGTCTGAGTGGATTTAAAATGAGAGCATTTATCAGGTCGTATGGATGATGAATTCCGTTGTAGCGTAACCAAAACAGAATGAAACTCCATGAATGTTCGAAATGAACTCGATTAAGACGTTTCTAACTGCAGTAAAACTGTGGAACCCAATTATCCAAAGTAATGTGGACTGATAGCTACACCCGATAGCGCAAAACTTCGATAAACGCAAGAGGCTGTTCATTTCGTATTACAAATTAAGACTATCGAAAAATAATAATTCGTATTTCACAATATTACTCTTAGCCACATTTCATATTTTAGTGACCTGGTCTGACTTTGAAATTAAAGTGACATAAGTAACGAAATATGAATCATTTCATTGATAATATATCATTAACCACTTCGTTGATTTTTCTTTCTTGTATCATGAATGTTGAGAACTTATTCAAAATATCTTTCCGTCTAATTTTGTTTTACAGCTCTTCCTTGGGTTTTTCCCCCTATGTGGAGTTATGTTAAATTTAAAAATATCAAAAAAGCTAAAACCGGGAAACTCTGATAGTTCCTCTATTCTCAGTAGCTAAACCAATCGATTGCCCACTTTGGGATGCAGCACTTTAGCATTTTACGGCAAATAATGAATAAATTACCTAGAGTAAATTGTAAAGGCTAGGAGACTGTTTTGTTCCTCCTCATGTTTCTGTTTCAAGAATTTTCTTTGTTCATGCTCATGTTTCTGTTTCAAGAATTTTCTTTGTTCATGCTCATGTTTCTGTTTCAAGAATTTTCTTTGTTCATGCTCATGTTTCCATTTAAAGAATTTTCTTTGTCCCTGCTCATGTTCCCACTTCAAGAATTTTCTTCGTTCCTGCTCATATTTCCATTTAAAGAATTTTCTTTGTTCCTGCTCATGTTTCCATTTCAAGAATTTTCTTTGTTCCTGCTCATGTCTCCATTTGAAGAATTTTCTTTGTTACTGCTCATGTTTCCATTTCAAGAATTTTCTTTGTTCCTGCTCATGTTTCCATTTCAAGAATTTTCTTTGTTCCTGCTCATGTTTCCAGTTAAAGAATTTTTTTTGTTCCTGCTTCTGTTTCCATTTAAAGAATTTTATTTGTTCCTGCTCATGTTTCCATTTAAAGAATTTTCTTACTTTCGTTATACTTATTGCAGTGCTTTTTGGAACTTGCAACATGAAAAATGAGCAAAGCCCTGGCAGAGATTAAAATTCTGGTCCTTCCAGTGCTAGCGGGGCATGCTTCCAATTGCATCATAGAGGCACATAAGGAAGGAGATAATCACTTACATTCTTTCCCACTTAGAGGATGGTTGGGGAGAACGGAACAAAATAGCCTGTAGAGAATTAGGTATTTTCGGAAGCAGCCAAGATGAAAATTGAGCAACGCCTTCGCCGGGAATCGAACCACGGACCTCTGCAATACGGTCCCAGCGTGCAGACCACCACATCACGAAGGCATGCCAAAAAGGTGGGAGAAATACTTATATATTCCTCCTTTTAAAGGTCGGCGAAGATTTTTAGGGGACCTAATCGCCAAATCCTGGATGTGCAGAACCATCATCCAGCACCCTTTTAGTTCGGACGCCACTGTAAACACATGAGGTAGTTTTGGAAGCAGAAAAGATGAAAAATTAGCAACGCCTTCGCCGGGAATCGAACCGCGGAACACACCACGAAGGTACGCCAAGAAAGCGGGAGAAATATCTTATATACACCCCCTTTTAAAGGACGACTGGGGTTTTAGGGGATGCAATCGCCAAATCCTGTGTGTAAAGAGTCATCATCTACCACCCTTTTAGTTCAGGCACCACTGTAGAGACAGGAATTTTTTTTTTTTTTTTTTTTTTTTTTTTTTTTTGGAACCAGGAGAGATGAAAAATGAGCAACACTTCCGCCAGAAATCGAACCACGGAGCTCTGGAATACACCCCAACGTGCAGACCACTACACCACAAAGGCACGCCAAGAAGGCGGGAGAAATACCTTAAATGCTAGTAATGATAAATTATCGTCCACCACATTTTAATTCAGGCATCACATGCGGATTCTATTTAGAATTTTTTTTTCACATGAAGAATTAGCTCTGCCCTCGACGAGATTCGAACTCCTTGCCTTCCGATGCTACCCGGACGTGCTTCCAATTACATCACGAAGGCAAGCGCAAAAAAAAAAAAAAAAAAAAAAGGAGAAAATCCGTTGCAATTTTTTGGTGTTAGACAATTTTTAAGAGTCATCATTTTTTTACATTTTTTTTTTTTTTTTGGATGGATGTAGCTTTTGTTAAATTGATATTTTGATCTTAAGAACTATGCTTTTTGTATTAGTGTATTCAGCATATTCGGCAAAATATCGCCATAATCATAAATTTATATCCTTCACATAATGCAATTAATTGCTCACGGGATGCAACCAGTGCGATTAATCTCATTGGAGAGATTCCTGTACTCATATGCGGTACCAAATTGCATTCAAAGAGAAATTTTGTTACGAACTTAGATTACCTCTTGTTACAATCTTAGATTAAAATTTCATCTTAGGAAATATTTATGAAACAATAAATTTTAGAGTGCTGTAGACGTAAATAAAGGAGATTATTATACAAATATTAATTTCTTAAGCAGACAATCGTGGATATTTGATACATATCTTTGTTTAGCCATAACATCTTGAACAGAATAAAAACACTGTAAACGCTGTGACGGATGTATCCGCTTACTCAAAAATATATTTTTAATTTGAAGAAACTTATGCTTTTTAAAGAAACTTATATTTTTGGCGCAGTGAGTCTCCCTGCTAAGCGTGGGGGGAATTGAGTTTAATGCTGATTAATGACTATGACCTCACTATTGCTGTGATGTTCAAGAGTTTGAAAACATAAATGGAGGAAACAGGAGAAGTATGGATAGAGAAAAAGAAAAACGATAAAGGCAATTTTAATACGACCAAACGCAGTCTGGTAGAATAGACTCACTAGAAGCCTACAGAAGACGTTGTTGAAACTAATTTTGCTTCTTTGGCATAAGCCCACGAAATTCGATGAGATAAGGAGTACATCATTATGCCTGTAGTTGGCAAGAGTCTTGGGTACCACATAGGAGACTACGATTTTGCCCAGTTCTACCCCAATTTCGAGCAAGGGAATGGATCTGAGGAATGGATCCGAGGGTCTCCCATCCCTCTTTCCCTGCCACAATCCCAGGGGGGTAAGAAAGGAGGTCTTACTTCCCACCCCTCTTTCCCTGCCACAATCCCAGGGGGGGGTAAGAAAGGAGGTCTTACTTCCTACCTCCATGCACAATCCACACGAGAGGATTTTCTCCTCGTCATGTATTTAGATTGTCCCCATGACGCACAAACACTATACATTTACAACATCCATACCTTCTGTGGATTCGAATCCGGGCCCTTCCGTACGGTAGGAGCATACACTATAGACTTTAAAAAGACTATTGAAGAATTATCTTCTAGCCTTGTGAAACAAAACAAAAGTCAGAAGAAGGGTGTATAAGACCCTTTTATTCGAACACAATTTAACAGTTATCCAGCCTGGGTTTTCACAAGCCAAGCACTGCACCTCTGGCTTAACAGAAATATGCAACGTTGAACAAACTCAAAATAAGGTAGATTAGCCTAACGCCTCACAGGATAATTAAACGCGCAGGCAAGGCTCTGGTTTGTAGATAACCGGTGAGACAAAGACAAATGGCTAGAAGCACTCAACGCCACCAAATGAAGTCGCTAATAATCACCGCACAGCGTGGCCTGGAACAGGCAAACGCACTCTAAAACTAACTTCCGAAACTCTTGCTTACATAGCACTTCTTTATACCTTAATATCAATAAACACTCGCTGTCTCATTTACATTCTGGCATGAAAAGCGAAGTTGAAAAGAGAGTAATTGGAACGTGCTAACTTAAAATGAACTATTAGTTAAAAATAAATAAATAAACCTCACAAAGTAAAAGGGAAGTAACAAGGATAGCCATGGTGAGGCATTGAAATCTGCATATGAGCTCTTAATACCACATGGGTCAATAAACTGATCTTCAATTTTATAGCTTTGCACAGAGCAGCTGTATTGATTCAACAACATAATTCTAAAGACAGTAGTAACAGCGCACGTTCTCACAAAGAGATATTGAAAATATACGTAATGCCGATGCTATACGTTCTGTTGTCCAGTGCCTATAGAACCTTTTCGTCCCTAAATTTTGTCACCTGGTGCTGTCGCAACGGCCATGAATATACGTAAGCTTTATTGTTGTCTTAATCAAATTATAAATAGTATGTGATGTGTTTAATATCGAACTACCTTTTTGTATCAAATTTAAGCCTCACTTTTTATTCAGATTTTTAAAATGTAAAATTATAGTGTAGTTAAATATATAATAATATATGATAATATATAATAAAGCAAATACATAATAAATTAAAAGTATAATAAAGCAAATATTTTAACATTTCTGATAATCTCCCTCTCTCTAGCAATCCGGTCTTCAGTAATTTAAGTCTGCAATATCAAAATGATTTTATAATCAGTGCCTATTATAAAAGCATTTTTATTTTTATTCCAAAGGGGCAGTTTGCCCAGAAGGACTATTAATTTCGTTTTGACATTTTGCGTTGATTCGCTACAAGCATTATTTCACTTTTCAAATTGTTGCCACCATATATTATTGCCCTGTATTATATTTAAAGAAATTAAATAATGAAGAATCTGCATAAATGTATGTATGTTTCTCGCATTATGATACAACGGTACCTGGAGCCATCCAATTTTGAATGACGTAATCATCCTACGAATATGGGCATGTGGATGACCGAATTTGAAATTTAGAATTTGTTTTATTATCGATTTCATATTTTGTAAAACTTTAACGAATTTTTCATTAACAAATTCAAGGCTTTCAAAGCTAGCAATGGCAACGTTGTACAGAAAAAAAAAAAAAAAACACTTTTATCTCAAGCGCGCGAGACTGTCTATAGGAAATTCTAAAGGTATGCTCATTTTAAAATTATTTTGCAATATTGCTCTTGAACTGAATTTTATAGTTTACGTGCGAAGAACATGGTATTTATTAAATAAAGGTAGAACACAAAATGTTAAAAAAACGCCCCTTTGGACGTCATTTAAAATCTAAAACCTTTCAGATATTTTTCTGTTTCCTTATTTTAAAAATCCTACTGGGCTTAAAATTCGAAGTAGGAGTATATGTGTACTGCCACCATTACTTTACCATCATACAATGCCACTATTTTGCCACCATACCATCTGAACTTCTGAATAATATATTTTATATTTCCTGTGAATTAATTACGATCATACAGATTTTCGGATTAACTCTATTTTGGAATTATTATGGCATACCCTGGATTAATTCAGATAATCAGAAGCTTATTGTATTATAGTACAGTCTTTCTAGAATCGAAAATTTCTTGTTATCTGTGAAATATTAGATTATTGATTTCATGTTTTTTAAAACTGATATATATATTTTAAAACCCCGTTTAATCGGGTTTTTTTGCCACCATTTTAAACACGCAGTTTGCTAATTCATTTCAGTAATTTAAAAATAATAATTAAAGTAAAAATTATAGATTTCCATTTTTAATTACCGTTCGTATAATAGTTTTATAAAAGATTCAAATGGGAATAAAGATATGCTTGAAGTTTATTTTATGCAAACTGAATTCAAAAATAGCAGTATTATCGAAACTATTGCTTAAAAAAAAGGGCAGTTTTCATTTATTGTGAAAACCAATCTAATTAAGCAGTTCTGGATATAACAAAAGCCATCAAAGGCCGATTCGCAATTAAAAAAAAATGGGGAAAAAATGAAAAGTGTATTGCTTATTTTATTAGTATAGAGATGTAAAGATATTATAATATTCAGTTTTAATAAATAATATTATAATTAATTACATTTAACTTTTATTACTAATATAACCCTTCTCTATTATTTTAGAGAAGCGGGATTCTGACGTTGTTAAGCTAAAATAAAAAAAAGAAAAAGCTCATTTATTTTAGAAAATAAATAAACAGTTCTAAATTAAATATGTAATGCTCTTTTGCAGTAGCTCTTTCAGAGAAAGAAGGAGCTCTGATCTGAAGTATTCATAATCAGAAATGAATGGACTGACCTTATGAAATATTATTAGAACCCTCAGCCTAAGCTTTATTCGATAGAAAATTTCCTCTATCTTCAGAAATTTTTCTTGATATGACATCATGTAACTCCTCCAGAACTATATACGGCTTTTAAAATTTCAGAGGGAATGTGAGCTTTGTTAGCTAACACTTCCGACTGCTTTCGTGGCCTGCAGTCAGATAGCACTGCCGCTTTCATTCAACATTTTTCAATTGCAGCCGTCCAGACGGCATAGTGGTTAGTGAAGCCGAGTGCGATACTAAAGGGCCTGGGTTCGAATCCCGGAGAAGGCAATGGTTGTAACTGTCCTTTTCTTCATAGGAGGCAAAGTGAACCGCTTATTAGGTGCCTCCATAATAAAGTGACTACTACTCCTGCCCTTAGCAGGGGCCAAGACGAAGTCGGATGAGGGCCCGCCATTGGGGAGGGGGGAAATTTAGTTACGGTGCATCTCATTAGTTGTCCAAGAACTGAGCAAAGAGAGTGCTGGGTGAACTTTTCAAGGAAACGAATTTCTAACATTAATTTTTTGTTTTCATCAGTGGTGATTTAAGCATCCTGCTTTATGCCATAGGCATAAATTAAGAAATATATTTTAGTTATTTCATTAGACAAAATATAACATTACTCATTTTTTAGAGTAATTTAGTAACTTTCATCTATCCGAAAAGATTGCAGGGGGCTCTTTTCCGCGAGAAGACACTAACGTTGGAACGAAATATTTACCCGTTGTCATAAATTCATTGTACTTTCAGGAGAATGAGCTTTGACTTGTGGATGCAGGCTTTTCTTTCCTTAAAAGTCTCGACAACCATCTAAGGGTTTGTTTCCCAAGGAAAGAGAGGCACGTATTCAGAAAATAGAATCGATTTTTAATATAATTTTATTATTAAAAGTAAAATTTTTGAGATGAAATTTCTGCTGAATTTGATATTCAGTTACATAAAAGAAGTGCCGAAACTTTCTTTTTTAGGCCTCCGGTGAGCTCCTGCTAAAATTAGGATTTATCCCCAAAACCAAGAAGTTCCGGAGTTGGGATCCGACGCAATTTAAGCTCTGATGTCTGCGTCCGAAGCAAAAAGAGTTTCGAAAACACTGATAAATGCTAATTATTTTCTTCTACAGGTCATTATCATTATAAGGGCACAGCCCCGATCCTCCTAGCCGGCCGTATGATCAGAAAATGGGACTGGTTGGAAAAAATCAAATGTAAGGGGGGGGAATCCAAAATTTTAGTCTCAGTGCCGAATTCCAATTCTATCTTTGGAATTCGGCACAGGTCTTCTACTGGTCGTATTGTCTTGCCTTATAGAATTTCTTTACTAATATTTTTATTTATTAAATTTATTGAAGCATCCATAACATACCACATCTTTATTAATTCACTTTCTTCTTCTTGCTTTATACATTTGTTTTAATCAATTAGGATTTTTAGGAGCAGGCAAGATGAAAAATTAGCAATCGCCTTCACGGGAATCGAAAGAATCCTCATCCAACACCCTTGTAGTTCGGGAAGCCACTGTAGAGACATTAGGATTTTTAGGAGCAGGGAAGATGAAAATTTAGCAATCGTCTTCGCCGGGAATCGAACCACGGACCTCTGGAATACCGGTCCAGCGTGCAGAACCACTACACCACGAAGGCACGCTAGGAAGGCGGGAGAAATACCTTATAAGAATAGTAATTTTATCCTTACACAAATTTCTGCAGTTATTTTTAAGAGAAAAAGAGGGGCTGCGACCACATGTTAGCAGGACAGAAGCAAGCGTTTGAAAAGCGGAGATTTTGTTGCTAACATTAGATTATGAATGATGAAATCAGTTCATTTTTCTACAGAGGAAGACAATATCGCTTTAGCAATGTTGGAGATGTTCGATTTAATTACCGTTGGGTAAAATGCTTCAATTTCATTTTTGCCTTTATGTAAGTACGTGTATCATTAGCGTTGTATAAGAATCATATAAAAACTGTAAAGCAAACTTCTGATAAACGATAGATCAAGTTACAAATAACCACTGCAAATATAAACTTATAATGGCTAATCGTAGATAAAATTTATTCTATCATGGTTTTCATCAAAGGTGTGTGTGTGTGACATTTCATGGAAATATAGTTGAAGTAAAATTTAAATGCCTTTTGTTTCATAACATTCCTTCCCCCTTCTTCAGTTCTTCCATCTTTGAAATAGCCAGATAATGAACTAGTATTTTCCTCCTTTTGCTTCTCTTTGGCTATGTGGAACAAGGGGGAAAATAACATTAATTGCTTACTGTCAGACATACTCGTACTTTAAAAAGACTTATGAACATGAGAGGGAAATAAAGAATACAATATGCCTTGGGGTGGTAGGTATCATGCCAAGGCCAAACCCAAGGCTGCTTGTCATTTATTTCGTAGCGTGATGGTTCTCATCTGCTATAAACACTTCATTCAAGAATTGATTTTCACCGTTCAAAGCACGTAATTCATAGCGCAGTTTGATATATCAAGGGTTCCTTTCAGGCTGACAAATGTGCATGAAGTCCAAATGTTATACAGAGTTAAAAAATTATATACGTGGATACCCAAGCAAATACATTTTACTTCTGCAAAATATTTAATTTTGTTTTATAACTAAGGCATTAATTTCACAGCAGTTGAAATTCGGCGATTATCGCTAATTTCCGTGGTTTTTGTGTGATTTCGCAAATATCAAATTCTTTTCGTGAATGTCAAATAATTCCACTATTTTTTAAATTTTTTATTAAACTGTAAAATTATTTTCAATATTTCAATAATTTTTATACTTCTTTTCTTTAGAATTTCAGTAAAAATACGTAGGTAAGTTGAAAAATAAGTTTCCCTTGTCGACTGTGGTCAGAGTTGTGTATGAAAGTCAAAAAATAGAATGAGACATTAAAGATATGACATACCTTTATTTTTCCACATAGGTACCAAGTACATTGAGACATTTGTCATATCGCTTGATAAGCTTCAAAAAGCCCTCCAGGAAAAAATCAAGGCTTTGCATATGGAAGAAGCGTTGAACGGCATGTTTCTGGCGTGAAATGGTGGACCCACGTTTCATCCCCCGTCACAATCCGAAACAGAAAGTCATTGCCATCTTCATGGTAACGCACGAGATGTTCCAGGCTGACCCCCATGCGTTGTTCCTTGTATGTCGACGTCAATTGTCGGGGCACCCATCGTGCTGACACTTTTCTGTATCGAAGAATGTCGTGGATGATGTTTTGAGCTCGCTCATGTGAGATTCCAAGTTCTTCCGCTACTTCATCGATTGTGATACGCCGGTTCGCTCTAATCATGTTATCCACCTTCCTGACATTTGCATCTGAAGTGGCCGTGCGCGTCCGTCCAGCTCTCGGTACGTCCTCCACTTGCTGACGTCCATCACTGAATGTGCGACACCATCTCCGCACCATTTGCTTCGACATCACACCTGGCCCACAGACTTCCACGAGGCGGTTATGAATTTCTGTTCCTGATACTCCACATGCCCATTCATAGCGGATAACCGCTCTCACTTCCTGCTTTGACCACCTCTTTCGACACACAAGGAACAACGCATGGGGTCAGCCTGGAACATCTCGTGCGTTACCATGAAGATGGCAATGACTTTCTGTTTCGGACTGTGACGGGGGATGAAACGTGGGCCCACCATTTCACGCCAGAAACATGCCGTTCAACGCTTCTTCCATATGCAAAGCCCTGATTTTTTCCTGGAGGGCTTTTGAATCTTATCAAGCGATATGACAAATGTCTCAATGTACTTAGTACGTATGTGGAAAAATAAAGGTATGTCATATCTTTAATGTCTCATTCTATTTTTTGACTTTCATACACAACTCTGACCACAGTCGACAGGGGAAACTTATTTTTCAACTTACCCTCGTAGTTTGTGAGATAATTCTGTCCACAATCTAAACTAGAAGATTTAATTGCCGTCAGTTTTGCTGAACTTCTGGAATACGAGAATAATTCCCTCCTGTTCTTATTAACTCTTCGGCGGTTACAAGATTAAACAGTTTTTTTCACTTCCCAAATATGCGTGATGTCTGCAATTTGTAAATTTAATATTTTAGCTGTATTCGGTTTGCGCCTACTGCGGTGCGCATCCTAACGGAAGGCAAGGTAGTGCACAGCTCGTGGGCGGCCAGATTTAAGGGCGGTGAAAAGATTAACAAATATATTACATTTCTGTAAAAATGGGCGGCCGACGGTCTGGGATCGGTACTGGCAATGCGTAACGCGAATAACTGCTGAACTCATTTGATGACCAGCACATTTCTTATGTCAGTGGCAAAGAAATTATTTCGATGCCTAAGTATCCTTTTTTAGAAATGTGTTAATGAATGAAGGGAAAGAACACGTCCAATTTAATGATAATATCGATAAAAAATGACGGTATTCAAAACATTCCTGTTGAAACGTTCAACAGACCCCGCGATTTGCTCATAGCGTAATAGGATTCCTGCTCAAATCATGGGTTGCGGGGACGTTTTGTGGTTTTCCTCATGTGTAGTACAATTGAGAGCCAGTTTTCCTTAAAGAGTTCTACAGGAAGGTATCTTTCTCCTTAGGCGGATAGCCGTGGTGTGCTAAATAATACATACAATCCAATCTAATCTATCTCTCCTTAAAGTGTTAAAAATAAGTGGTCCACAACTTGATCTTGAAGTGGTTGAAAACTGGTTTACTAAGAGAAAAAAATTAAGATAGCTGTGTTCTTCTCAGTGATATACATTCAATGGTATGTGTGAAGAGATTACAGCTTTCCTGCTCGAATATCTGATCGTTCAAATTAAGAGCCCGCAATACATTCAGAAATTTGCACAGCGGAGTTAAAAATAGCTGCATTTTGTGCACTTCAATCATAAATAACTTAATTAACGCAGAAATCGACCGATGAGCAAATACAACTTTCCTGGTTCCAACTGTCACAGAGACTCCATATTTGGCAAATAATCACATTTCCTATTAAACATCACGAAATCATTTGGGGTATTTTTTCTTATCTTTCGCAATTAAAAAACAATGAGCATGCAAAAGATGTTCATTGATTTTGAACTTAGATGATTTCAAATGTAAGAAAATTGTAGGATGGTTGGTTGTTAACATGTCATTGAAGAATTAAACCATGAATTGCCAATACAACTTTAGCAACATAAAGCCAACCTACAGGTAAAGTTTTTCATGAGGATATCCACTGATATTTTGAATCAATGCCATTATTGCAAGGGACTTGTTGGTACACTTTAGAATAAGCTTAAGGAAATTCTTATGCATATTCTTCTGCCAACACATTGATTCTAATTCCTTTAAGATATCTGGTACTTAATCGTGTATGTACTTACTTATTTCTATTATTTTTGTATGTTTTGCTGAACTTATGAAGTTAAAAATATTTTTTGTTACAGGTATGTGGAATCGTGCTCTTCGCTTATTATCTTCTAAAGAGTGTGTTGTTTGCTTGAATCAGAAATTTCAAGAAATTACATGTGCTTGTGAACGACGCCATGCTAGTTTTATTCCATTCTTATTCCAACGACAGATACTTCAACAGAAATCGCTTGAACCACAACACAGAAGAAAGAGTATGAAACAGGCAGTAGTAAAACTTCAGGAAAATGGTGTCGACAGAAGATTTCTTAAAGTACACCCTTCACCTTCCATGATGAATTCCCAGTCTGTTGTTTTACCGGTATGTTTAATTTTCCGAAATGCAAAATTTATTAAACCTTTTCATTTGTTGTTGTCTAGTATTTAAATTTTGATTTTCAGGCATAAAATTGATGGTTTTGTATCAAAATCAACAGTTTGTGTTTTAACAAAAAGAAAATTAGAACAAGCCTGTCATTTTAATAAATGTTGAGCACGCATGGTAAATTCTACAAAAATGTAAAAGTAAAGCTTTGAATTAAAACCAAATTGCACATGAAGGTAGCAGATGTGCTTATGTATTAAAGAAAGCGAGCACTATGCACAAAGATGAAAACAATATTTAATTTTCTTAAATTGTATGATGAATCAGATTTGTGTTCATAAATAAATTATGTTTAAAGACAGAGCCGTGGCTAGTTATTTTGTCACCTAAGGCAAGAGGATAAGTGGACGATCTATACTTAAGAAACCCTAAGGCAAGAGGGTATAGGTTTTATACTTAGGATGACTTTATACTAAGGAAATTTAGAGTAAAAAAAAAGGGGGAGGGCAACACTAGTTCTTGATTTATAACATTTCGTTTGCCATGCTACGTCTAGCCTCAAGTTTTATGTATACGGGAAATTTGGCGCCACAGACATCAATTACATTTTCGACTTAGCATTTAATACTCTGCAATATGACTAAGCAGATTTCCATCTGAAATACTAATTTGATAGGTTGTTTGTAGATAATTTTAATTCGATGAGTCAGATGCAACAACAAACATTCTCAATTTGCTTGATTTTTTTTTTCTCATATAACTGACTTATAGTTCTTAAAATTGCTTTAACAAAATCAGAGTTCTTTTAAAGAATATATTATTTTGTGTCAGTTACCTGAGGATTAGCAGAAAGAAATTTTGAAAAATGTTTTCCTTTAGCGAAATTGAAACAAACTCTTTTATTAATAGTTATCTTACAATTTAGAAGGGCATTTCTCGGAATTCTGCCACGAAAAATTTCAAACCTTGTTTTTTTATTTCTTTAAGGGTAAACATTTTATTTTATCTATACATATAAACAGCAGAAATATTCAAAACAAGATGAAACTCTGTTAAACTTTGTAGAATACGCGCCGAATGTGCTTCCAGTTACATCACAAAGGCATGCGGAAAGAAGGGAGAATATCCCTATATAATCCCTCTTTTTATAGGGTAATTGGGGATAAGAAGACCCAAATCGTGGTGGTGACGAATTATGGTCCCCCACCTTTTAATTCGGACGCCACTGTAGAATCATTAGGTTCTCTCTCTCTCTCCTTTTTTTTTTTTTTTTTTTACTTAAAAAATGTGCAGTGTCCTCGCCGGGGTTCGAACTCTGGGCCTCCCGAATACGCGTCGAATTGCTTCCATTTACACCAGAAGGTATGTGGAAAGGAGGGAGAAAATACTTTACAATTTTGTTTCACACAAAAAAAATATCTAGGTTGCTATTTGCGTATATATCCAGCAATGGCTATAAATTGTAAAGAAAATTATATAAATATAATCAACTGTGCACTTCTGCAAATAAATATGGTTACAGTGGGTTAAAAACTCGAACCTCAAGTCTCTTTCTTCCAAAAATTGAGCAAAGTATTGGTATATAGTACACCTTGCTTTAGGATTTCTTAGGATTTCTTTTAGGAGTTCCTGTAAGGGAATATAAAAACATAAATCAATTAAATCTTGCTTAGATAACTTTCTTGTTTATTGTTTGTATACTACGGTCAAACGTATGCAAAAAAAGGGCATAGGCCTGACTGAAGATGATTAATTGGTTAGGAAAGATGATTAACGAAAATAAAATAGTTGACTGCAAAAAAAGGGCATAGGCCTGACTGAAGATGATTAATTTGTTAGGAAAGATGATTAACGAAAATAAAACAGTTGACCTTATAGCACTGAGAATAAATAGCAATGTCAAAACGTAAGGCACTTTTTATTGCTATTAAGTATGGTATTTTAAAACGTTGCTTTTGGATACTTTCTTTCTTAAAAGGCATAATTTGTCATAGCTAATCTGGCGGGCGCCCCAGCTAGCTGTTTACCTGAGGCAAGTGTCTCACCCATTTCTTCGTTTTGTTTAAAGATGATGATACTACCATCTCTAAATACGTGATGTTCGATCATATTTTGGATCTGATTTTTCCTACACGTTTGTCATCTGATTTTAGGGCACTCGGTGACTTCTCAGTGAACGCAACACCCTGCCAATCTAATATAGTTAAACTGAAATGGCGACGAAACAATTTTAACCCCTTGGCATACATATAAAATACGCGTCCGAAGAATATCATTTAATTTGGACACTCACGTGCAAGCTTAAAAACAGTACGTTTTATTTTCAAAATTGCTATATGACAATAATAATTTACTGTGCGGCGTTCGCCGAAGACAGTTGTTGACGTCTCGGAAACGTCAAAGTCTAAAATGGCACATGAAATCAATGACGTCTCCCGGACGTCATTGCATGTCAAGAGGTTAATCTGACCTCTCTGGATTTGGCAATGTGCTCTCGCGTACAGTTCCTTCATGTGAAGTTTTCGGTTCACTGCTGGGAGATATTGTCTTGCCAAGTGACTCTTGGCCATAGATGTAATAATTCTTTTCCTGCAGCCATAGATGTAACAATTGTGAAGGTGGCTTGTCGAATCCGCTTGGCTAATATAATAATATACCAATATTCGGACCTGATGGTAACTCTTGGTTGACTAAGCTCCCGTTTCCGTACAACGGTTTGACTTGTTTGGATTTATTTCCATATTCGAGAAATTTCCGATTGATCAACGCCAAAGAAAAAACATCAAAGTAAAGGACATCTTTAACTGACTGCCCTTCTGCAATGTGACCGACAGAACCCAGTTCTTACTGTCTGTTTCTCTTCTTTTAGCCACAGAAACACGCATAGTATCAAAAATTATTCTATGTAACTTATAAATACTTCATATTAGCATTTAAATGAACTTCCTCAGAGCTTTCAGAATGCTGGAGTCTTCAACCACAGCTTAATTAACATATGCTCGGACAGTCAATTGTGATTAGCTGTAACATGCAATATTTGTATGCTGCCATCTGCATCCTCAGGGATTTTCAACTACTCAAATCCAACTGCGCTTTCGAAAATCGCTAATATTCATTTCATGCTTAACTTTTGGAAGGCACTGTGTATAGCTAAATCCTAGTAAGATGTCTAAGAATAAGGCAGGTATTAATAACAGACAGTAAAGAATATATAATTTACTCTATTTCTTGTAGTTACTTCTGTATTTCATCTTATGTATTTTTAAAGCTGAGTAATTAAGCTTCTTCATTGCATATGAAAATAACCATGAACAGCTTTCTGCTTTATCCATTCCATTCTTTTCCTGCTTCATGCTTTTGGGATGTAGTAAGTAAATAAACAAAAAAGTACATAGAATAATTCAATAGTCGTAGTTTTTCCCTAATACGTTATGATTACCATCGCCTCCACAAAAAATCACAACTCATTCCCGACTTTGTGAAATGGAGAAGAATGTTTGTTCGGTTTTATTTACAGCGCATAGGTATTATTCTGTTACCTCTTATAAACCCCGTCATCTCATTATGATTCATCAATACACTATTGTATTTTACCCTAGTCAGAAGATTGTAGGATCATTATTCTTAAGAGATGTGTGTTAATGCAAGGATAAAGATGACGACCAGTTTTTTACATCCACTATTTTAAGTAGATTAGAAAATATATTAGTTAAGTACATATATACGGATTAAAATGAAATAAAATAAGATGTGAGTTAACTCTACACATTCAAAGCGAAATCACAGACTGGAATCGACGTTAGTAACGTGCTAGCTCGCAGGTAAGTCAGCGCGACAGAAGCGAGGTAAGTTCGACGCTTGACTATAGTTCGACCGCCTCATCCATGACCATGAGCGCAAACACGCATGCGCCATTCAGACCGAATTATTCTCAAAATAGGGTGGAAGGATGGGGACTTTCTTTCCCTCCAGCATAGCTCTTTCCGGAGAAGAGAAGACCTTTCACGTCGCAGTGAATAATACCGTCCCTTTTAGACGAGTGTATGTGTTTTGGCAGAATGCCAATCAGGGTTGCGCTTGAGACGGTGAAACTATACCAGAAATGAATTTTCGGGGATCAGTCTCAAATTCTCTCCCCTGCCAGGTGGCAGGAAAAGCTGATAGCGTCAATTCTTGGATTTGGTTGCTAATTAAGAGCTCTCCACAACACCCTTAAAATGGACTGGGAAAGAGGGACATTAATCAGCGAAATAATGATTAAATATAAAGCTTATAAATCCATGTGTACTTGTATACGAGTGTGTTTAGTCCTTATTTCTACTATCCCTTCATCATATTGAAAGCTTAAATTCAACCGGAGACCCGATCAGCTATTTCTTAGTTTTTGCGTTAAATTTTAATTCCAGCTGGAACCCTAAGTCAAGATCCAGTATATATATTATATTTTATTATTTACCATTTATTTCATAACTTATTTTTGTTTATCCCTTTACGTTTTATGGAATTTTAATTATTCTTAATTAAATAATTATAATTATTTTAATAATTATTTAATGCTTTCTATGATTTTATTATATTAGTCATTTTAATTATTTATTTATTTTTGTTATACTGGTAGTCTTCCGTAGGGCTCCGACTCTTCTAATTTCAGAAATTAAGCCCTGCTATGGCCTGAGAAAACAGAAAAAATGCATAAAGAACAAAAAAATAGTAGCTCTAGAATTTAAAAAGATAGCTTCTATCTGAAAGAAGAGTTCAAAGGTTAAAAACTGAGTGTTCAAGATAAAATTTTCATAGCCAGAATGTTAGGAGCTTCTTAAGTAGAAACACTTACTCAAAGAAAGATTTTGTTAAAAGCAATAATTAGTTAAGTATGTGAAAAATTTAAGAACAACAAGAGAAGCAACAGAGATAAATTACAAAATTTTAAAATGATATCTATTATTTTTAAAGCAAATTTTTGCTGATTTATTGTAGAAGAAGCTTTATTAAGATAG